CCCCCCAATCCATAACAATAGGATAAATCTGAAATAGTCTGTAAACAGAAACCTTTTATATTACAAAGATATACACTCTACTCTTTAAGAATTTATCATGTGTAACATTTCAGAGGCAGTAAATCATTTTAAGATTAGTAGCTGTTCACTCTATAAACTAGTTAATGTGCATTTGTATTAAAATGACATCTATAAAAATTTCATTTACCAACATATGTGTAGTGCGTTTTTTGTGCCCTGTAGGTCTTACCAGATAGAAGAATTCTGGGGTTGGCCCATAAATATTGGACTCACTTTTTATGATGCACCTGTTGTCATGTATATGAAATGCAGACTGATTTTTCACCAAACTCGGTATGTGAATGTCACTGGCAGACTAAATGTGTCCCCACCTTTGTATTCATGTCCTGGCAGGTCAAGTGACACTATCATCATAAACTCCATGCTTAATGAAATGATACTCCCCTTGATCTATCAATTTTGCTACAGCTATCCGTTGTTTTAAAATATTTTCTTTTGTGTGTTGTATTTGCATCGACAGATCTTCCTTAATGTTTCCCTTTTTCTTTCGTCGATTTGATTTGTGTGTTGCTATACTTTGTCTGCAGCATTATCCTCTTAAGTATTCTGGGGCGGGGTAGGAGCCATACCCATTAGTCTTTAGATTTTGTATACTGATCAGTGATAGTGTACGTAATGTTTTCTGCTTTCTACCTTTGCTGTAGTAAAAGAATCACAGACCACTTGATTTCTCTTCATTCTAAAGCTGTGGCTCTTGTTACTAACTTATAACTTCATTATGAAATGATAAGTAAGGAAATTTGATGTCTCTTTGTTTATTGCACAGAAATCCTTATGGATTATCAGTATGTATTAGGTGCCTTAAAGAAAATGTGCTTATGCCTTTGGAAGGTTGTTTTGAAAAAGAATCAAATCATTGTAGTAGTGCAGAAGTGTCTTTTTTAACACTTTCCACCCATGCAGTGTGCAGAGCACACAACACTTATCCCCACGGACCAGGGTACAGATGCGGTGCACGCTATATCACGGCATTCCGTGGGGGCAAAGTGTGAAAGAGGCATAACAAGGTGCTCCTCATTGTATGTGGGGATTTCTTTTGGTAGAATGGAAATCAGGGAGCAGGTGAAACTTCCTGCACTTTATTAATATTTGAGAATGGTAGGTGGGATAATGGTGAACTTTAATGTAAGACTCTTACTAAGAGTTCGGTAAATGTATAGACTAATGTTCTGTTCTCAATTTTTTTTCTCCCTTTTTTGCAGTGTAGGGTCTATACTCAAAGACAATGAGACAATGAACTCATAGGATTGATTTAATTGGCTGTTTTGTGAGATGCAGGGCCCTAGTTCCAGTTTATGCCAGGTTAGAGCAAGCCTGGTTTATTGTAAATTCAACTATTCCACCCTCCCCCCCACTCCCCCGTAGCCCACATATGTTGGCGTATGTAGCTGTTCTTTGAGTACTCGACTAAGGAACAAACAATCTAGTTAAATGAAGTCAGTGGTCAATCATAATTTGTTCTGGTCAATGTAAAAACTCAACTTTATGTGTCTCGAAGTTAGTATTGGTGTTCTGTCCATTACTTCATTAGTGACTTTTTGGTTCCTTGCTTTTGTTTTGTACGTTTTTCTCATAATTTTTGTACTCGGTTGGCTTCCCAACGTTATGCTTCCTCTTTGTTGTCTCCACTCTATTTCCACCACTGGAAATAATGTCTTCAATAATGGGAGTAGTTTACTGTGCAGATTTCGCCTCATTGATGAGGTACAATTGTGGTACATCTTTGTATATTTAATATTAATAGCTTGTAAAGATATTGATTCTATTGAAAAAGGTCTTGAAATATTTCTTTAAAAACAAAACAAAAAAATTTACATAGTTACAGACTGGCTATTGTGGCATGAGTCTATAAAATTTGAAGACACATGAAAAGTTTGCTCTATGGTGTGGTGATTTTTTCAGAGTTTTTTTTTAGAGTGTGTGGTTTTGGTGGGATTTTTTCCGAGTCTTTTTTTGTGTATTTCTTTGCATGTGCATGTGTGAGTGTGCAATTTTCATGAGTGTTGTGCCATGTAATCGACATTACTGGAGAAAGTTTGTTTGCTTATGTCACTTAATCGAAGACATTTTGTAGACTGGTTGCGATGGATACTGTATAGTTTTTGTACACTTTTCTACTTCATGTCCTAAAGAACCGTATGTTTTCAAAGCATTGTACAGTGGTAGAGGTGACTGACATTTCTGGCAGCTGTTTTTTGACAAGTTGAAAGAAAGACAAATCTGGCTAAATAGAGAAAATGTCTGAAGTCTGAGAGAAGTGGAGAGTGTCTGAAGTGTTCAAATATGAAAGACGTTTCCTTGTGCATCAAAGCTCATGAGTCACTGTGATTTTTTGCAGTTTGTATTTTTCATTTTTGGTTGGATTTATTTTGAAGAAGACACCACAGCAGGGAGGGGGTAATATTGTGGTCCGTTCCTTTTCCATGGTTATATTTTGCACAACTGTAATCATTTTGACGGGCTTAAATGCAAATCCTCATTTTAAAAAGTCAGTTTCTGTCTCATGAAATACTTTTTTTTCTCCTCAACAGAACAACTTTCGTCAGGCATTCATCCATATATAACTCACCTCAGTATCATTTACAACTGTCGCTTTTTCATATGCATATTATGATCAATTTAGTAATATATACATGTATATTATATTGTGAAATGTTCATCGAGTCTGAAAAATATTCACTGGATGTCTATTTTTCATATTTGTTCATTTGCAGTAATAAAATTTGCTTCTTCACTTTTGAGTGTTGTTTTCTTTCCCCCAGAAACCGTAGATTCATATCTTTTTTTTTATATAGTAGAGGGTTTTATGGCGCTCGCAACTGCATAAGGTCATATGAGCGCCAAGGGGTGGGTGTCAACAGAGAAGTCTTTACAGGGAATCAGACTTAGACTGCTCACCTCTCTAGCTTCAACAGCACAAGGTCTGCTTCGACTATCAAGGCACCCCGGAAATAGCAGGTCACAAGAGAGTGACAGACATACAAAAGAAGTAGAGGAAAATGACAAGTAAGGATCAGGAAAGAAAAAGCAGCAGTTCCCTGTTGTAGATCAGGCACAGTTATGAGCGTTCAGCCCATTTACAATTCTACTAAGCTTGAACGAGAAATGCCTCCCCTTTGGGAATGGCCTAAAGACACTACAGTCAGTGGCAATGCCCCGGGGGGGGGGGGGTATCAATATATTTTTTTTTAAAAAGAAAAACATTGCTGTGAGAATGGGGCAATAGCTCAATGTGTATCATCTTTGAAGTCATCTGTCCTTCTTTTGTGAATGGCAATGCAAAAAAACAACAACATGCATAATATTTCTTTGGAAAGCGCTGGCGTTAAAATTCAGAATGCCCAGAAATTTCATAAGCTGGTTGTGATAGTTTTTAGACACAGTTGAGTGCAGAACACTTATCCTTTCCTTGCACACTCTGTAGACTGGTATTTCTGGTATTGGTGTACTTGGAATGAACATCATGCGCCAAGCCCTGTCGCAGAGAGCAGGAAATCTTTTATGAGGCTTCTTGATTTAAAAATACTGAAGTCAAGAGAGAAGCCTGGAAGTTGTGCACATCCACGAGTGGAAGTTAAAGCTTTTAAGTGTTCAAAATGTGGCAAACTCTTCTCTGCCACAATTGGTCTCTTGGCCATAGCAGAAGTCACAAGCCATCTTAACACTTTTTTTTTTTTTTTTTTTTTTTGGTCCCTTGCCCATTTCTAGGATATTGACGCCATCTGATTAGTAGAAAAATGTGCGTATGAGAGTGCCCAATAATGTATAACGTACAAATTTGTTATGACATATAACTGTTACATATAGATGTTTAAGATAATTATAGATGTTTGTGAAGGATCTGAGAGCAATGATGACCTTAGAAATGACGGTGATGGTGGTGGTAAGTGATGATGTGGGATGGTGCTTACGTTTATAATTATAAGAAAACATGCTTCTGTTATTTGATTGTTGTTGTTTAAAAAAAAAAATAATGTTAGCGTTAGTCCTATCTTCCTCTGCTCTGATGAGTCACGAGGGATGTGGGCACCCGCTATCCCGTTCCCTACTGGAACCATCTTTAATGTCACCGTGAAGTTCCGACCTTGTTAGTATTAGCCTATTCTAGCGGACCAAGACAAGTGAAGAGAGGACCTTAGTAGGTAGCTAGTACAGTGGTAGAGATTATTTTGGGGGTTTCGTAAGGGGTTTGCAGGCAGCAATTCACAATTGGGTTAAAGACTTTATACTTATTTCTATATAAAGTTGCGGAGATTCCGACAGGGATCCTGTGTCGGAATCTCCGCCATCTTAACACTTATTCCTTCTATTTTGCAGAAGAAATGTTTATACAATATCCTCTGCAACAAAGTGCATGCAGTCTAAATTGTCTCAGACGGGCCACCCGTTGTCGAGGAGAAAAGTGGTTGTCTTAGTAGACAAATGGATGTCTTACAGTGTCATTATACTGTATGAGAGGCGCAAAAGGGGGGGGGGGGGGGAGAAGAGGTTGTTTTGTTCAGATGACTGTCTTATACTGATGGCCGTTTGACTGTATTATCATTTTATGTATTTAAAAAAAAATTAGAGTTTTACGGCGCTCGCAACTGCATAAGGTCATACGAGCGCGCGGGACACATTAAAATTTTTCAGTTGGTAGGAAGTTTTGAATTTTGCCCGGATGGCGGCCGAAGCCTACTCTTATCGATTTTAGACCTCCAATGGATCTTAAACGTGCACACGGGCTCTCCGAGATTTTTCACCCTTGCCCGAGAAGGCTAGGTGTAGATCTTTCCTACCAGAAGATCAGGGGTGTGGCTGAAAGACAGCAGTAAGAAGGAGCCAGGTAGTAGCAGTAGAAAGGCCGCAGAAAGAGTCGGGAGCCCAGAGGAGGGGGCAAAGGAGGTGAGGGGGTGGGGGCAGAAAGAGGAGACGAAAGCAGACGACAGAACATTGCTAGAGAGCAGGAAAGGAGATGAAAGTGAAAGGAGACAATTCTTAGAGAAGGAAAATTTTCGGTCTCTACCCGGATTCGAATTCGGGACCTTTGAATGAGAGGCCAACACCTGAACCTCTAGGCCTCGAGAGCCCCCATTTTATCTATGACCGAATCCTGTTGTCTGGGGCAAAGGTTCTGTCGTCATTGGCGTCTTCAGCTTTATCCTTACCCGAAACTTGCAACAACAACAGCAACAAAATACTACTTGTGTTAGGACAGTATAAATAAAAATCATTGATGATTAACTGTGAAAATTACATACAGACTTCAAAATAAGTTAAAGACCACTTTCAAACACTCTGAGCGGTCTTCTTGGGTCCACCTGCACGTGGGCGTTCTTGGACTGATTCAGTGGCTTGATTGCGCTGCCTAAGGCGGACAATGACAGAGTGTGACACTGCAAGCCTTCTCGCAACTTCTTCGGCTCCAACTCCATCTTGTAGTGTGCCATAACCCTGGCACGATCAAAGTCTCTCAGCTTTCGTCTTGGTGGCATGTTGATGCGATTCTGGATTTTGCGGAAAGTTTGTCTTATATTGCCACCAAAGTGAGCACAGTTCGAGATCTATTCGTCCGTTTATCACGTGCACCAGCAATTTTTACTGACGAATATCCGTGGTGTCGCACACAAGTCGATAAAACCCCCCAGCAAATTTGGCTAAAATTCCCCGAGGATTTCCGTGCTGCACGAGGTGGTTTTGCCCCTTCAGGAAGCTTTGCAGTACGCATTGTTAACCCATTAACAGTTTCAGAGCAAACAAATTTGAAACATTCCTTGCTGTCTTTTTTTTTTCGGATAAAAAAAACCCAGGGCTGTCTGTCAAGGTGGTCCTTAACTTATGTTGAAGTCCTTATGTCTGCCTGGAAGGCGAGGAGCATTACGATTGAGAAAATCCCCCATGGAAAAACAAACAAACAAAAACCCCCACGAAAGAACGAGTAGCAAATACACATTGTTTTTATTCATTACAACGTAGCCTTATCACAACACGTTCATTCAGTACATCGTATCAGTAAGATACAAGAGCAGTAATGATTAAAAAAACAAAACTTTCTAGCACTTGTTGTTTTGTTGTGCTGGACATGAGTGGACACTGGTCAGCGGGTTCACCACTGATGGTCCTCCGGCCAGCCCAGCTGTTTGTGCATGAAAGACAAGCCGGCTGACCTGGTCCAGCGGTAGGTGGGCATCACGGGGCTGTTCCCGACCTTCCAGCCGTACTCGCCGTACGACGTCTCCGGGAGACACCTGGAGGAGAGAAGAGAAACTGTTGTCCAAGACGGCTACACCATTGTCGAGAACAAGAAAAGCTGTTGTCTTAGTCTTAGACAGCTGGATTTCTTGGACAGTGCCATTACAATTTGAAATACGGTACGGTACACGGAAAGGGAGTGTGTGTGTGTGTGGGGGGGG